CTATCCCCGAAAGGTGGCGGGATGGTCCACCGGGACGACACCCATCTGCACGGACAGGGGTCTAATGTGGTCTATTGGCTTGTCTTGCGCATAGAAATGTCCCATTGGTAGTTGCTAGTTACTAATCGTAATTCCAAGATCTGGGGAAAACGGCCAATTGACAAGCGTACTGCGGCTGAGAATGGGTGTCCTACATATATCCACGCGTCTCGGTCCATCTCATCTTGACTTTCTCATCTCCATCAACAAACCATAACAAAATGGACTACTCAACTCTCCCACTCGGCCCCAACCAAATCCGGCTTCTGACCATCGAGCCCAGCATTCCTGGGGGCAGTCTCAAGAGCCCAATAAAGTGTCGCATGTACGTGCGCTCCAAACCTCTCCCCACCACCGCACCCATCTACGACAGCGGCACCATGCCGCCCAACTACATCTCGTTCGACCATTACGTCCCCAGCCCGCCAGAGGAATGCTTTGGCGCGGCCATCCGACGGGACGTGGCCGAGATCCAGCTGGAGAACCTAGGCAGAGAGATCGCAAAGGAACAAGCCCGCCACAGCCGGAAACCATCTGCCCTCATCGCCCGAGCGGCCGAAAAGCTCGCAGCCAAACTGCATCACACCACGGCCGCCTCGACCAGCGAGGATATCATGATTCCCATAGATGACATCCCCAGCATGCTCACCCGAGAAGACTTTCTCTCCATGACGCGGGACATATCAAGCGGATACCCGGACATGTCGATCCGCACCTGGGAATCCGGACCCAAGACATACGGCAAGTTGCCGCTTGCTCAGCTGAATCCATTCTTCAAGATGCACCCTGAATTCTTCGATAGCAGCTCCTACTCCGGCATGCCTCTACCCGGTGAACCTGAACAGCACCCAAAGCCAAGAGGCAATGGCTGGAAACCAGAGAATTACATTGCCCTCTCGTACGCCTGGGGTCTAGAATCTGACGACCATTACACCATCTACATCAACGATAAGCCGGTCTTGGTCCGGGAAAATCTCTTTAATGCCCTACGCCATATGCGGGCATCGTTGGAAGATTACTTTTGCCCTCCGGGTGCCACAGCTAGCCCTTCAACTTCTTCATCCCGCAAGACCACCCAGACTGGTAATGATAAGCCCGAACATGGAGCAATCTGGATAGACGCCCTCTGCATAAACCAACTCTCCACGCCCGAGAAGAATTCCCAAGTGCAGCTAATGTCGACAATCTACAACTGCGCAGGCAACATCCTCGTCTGGCTCGGCCAAGAAACATCCCATTCCGACAAGGTAATTTCCTTCCTCGAAAAAAAGTCGGCCCTTCAACGCCAAGAATTCGTCGAGGTATGGGATGGCTCTGACCCCGTTACCGCCACGACCTGGCGAAACATGGCGCTTTTGAGGCTCAGGACTGTCAGGACCGAAGTACTGGGCATGCTGTTTAATAATACAGACATGTATGCTGCTGGCCATCCGTTTGGGCCCGGTGAGGCCAAGGACCTTTGGGATTTCTTTGCACGGGGGTATTGGCGCCGGTTGTGGGTTATTCAGGAGTTGGCCATGGGTCGACCCGGTATGGCGATTCTGTGCGGAGGGCGGATTACACTGTGGCGGTATATTCGGGATGCTGTTTTGTTGTTTGCTGGTGTTTTTGATCAGCTCAGAGAGGCTGCGAGGGGTGATTTTGAGAGGGAGAGGCTGCGAGGAGGAGGAGCAGAGATGCATGAAATGGAAATGGAAATGGAAATGGAGCATCCTATTGCGCATGTGGCCAAGATTGCGCAGCTCGAGATTAGCGGGCATCGGAGGCAACTTCCGAGGATCGATCCAAGCCAGTTGGTCTTGTACGCACCGGCTGTGATGAATGAGGGCCCGATTCTGGGGAGTACACTGCGTCAGGCCATCTTGTTGGGTTCCAGGGCGGAATGTTTCAAGGCGCATGATCGGGTTTATGGCTTGTTGAGTGTACCGGGCTTGCCTGCGACGTTCCAGAGCGAGATAAAAGTGGATTATTCCAAGCCCGTGGGACAAGTCTTTTTGGAGTTTACGAGTGTTTGTGTCGGGGAGGAGAGTCTGGATTTCTTGGCTGTCGTTGATGGGGTCCCTCCTTTGGGAAGAAAATCGAAAGATGCGAATGGGGCGCCAGTGGTCGAAAAGATACCCTCTTGGGTGCCGGATTATGCCGCGGCTCCCGAAAGGAGGATTGGTATTATCGAAGGAGAGTGGCGGGCTGGTGGAGAGACAGGCGGACAGTTTCCTAGCTTTTGGGGTATGGGAGGTTCGTGTTCACCGCCCAAGGTTATTGAAGGGAAAAAACTGCAGTGCACTGGTAAGGTGGTTGATGACGTGGCGGCTGTCGGAGCCGTCTCAGAGCTGGATCTAGACGCTGCGAGGGCGATGCTTGGAGATGGGGATCCGTCGCTATTTGGGGTGAAACACATGCACCAAGAAGCGGAGGAAGCAGCGAACGCAGACGGGACAGCTGCCAATATCCTTCACAAGGTCCTCGTTGGCGGATGTGATCTCAGCGGGGACAAGAAGGCTGTCGAACGTTTCAAGGCGTTGTATACCGCTTTCGGCGGTAAGTTACTGAACTGATGATATCCCGACATTAAACTGACGCCATGCTTTCCAGAACAAGAACCACCGAAAGGGTCACCACCCCACCGCAACTGGCACTTTCTCAACTCGAGCGCCAATTTGCAAATCCAAGGACGCCCCCTATCATCCTACTTCTCCCCCGGCCAGCCAACAGCAGCCGCCGCCAAAGTAGCACAGGCACATATGGCCATGACGGCGCGAACCAAGATGCGCCGTCTCATAGTCACCAAGTCCGGGCTCATTGGCCTAGCGCCCATCACAGCCCAACTAGGCGACAAGGTCATCTCCATAGTCGGCTATGGCAGGCCGGTGATTGCTTGCGCAGAGCAATCTGGCCAACCACCCGAGGGGGAGACAGCAGAAGAACAGTTCTGGCGAGAGTACTACGCGCCCAAGGTCTTTTGTCTTCGCGGGGAAGCCTACGTCGAGGGCATGATGAATCTGGAAAAGATGCCCGTCAATAGCCTCAAGCCAGAGCTCATGCTAGGGTCTGGGGATCTGGGGATTGGCAACTTGGTTTTTATCTGATTCAATGAATAATGACGAGAACGCACTGATATAATAATGACATGCCGCAGCTACTGCCAGTCCCTCAGAATGGTGTCTCCCTCCTTCAGTCCAGCAAGTTTGACCGTCTCTGCCCACAGCTTCCTCTGTTCTGTCTCGTCTCTCGACTCGGCGCTCGTCTCAAAGGGCAACTTGTCGTTGAGATACAGACCCTTGAGTGACGCTTTGCCATCTGCCGGGCTCCCAAAAGCAGCTTCCAGCACATCAGCCGCCGAGCGACTAGTAGGTCGTACAGACCCGCTGGGATACAGCCAGCCAATTGCTGGATATACGAACTTGAACAGAACCACACTGATAATCCATGGTGCCTGCCGCGTGAAGCTCGAGGGCATGAGGCCCGGATCGACTCCCAGCACGGAGATGTTCATGAGAGCTGCATCTTGGTCAAGCCGGCGCTGCAAGTCGTGCATCATCATGATGCAGAAGAGCTTGGCCGCACTGTAGCGGCGGAATCCTGCCCGGAAAGCGTCCAGAGACGATGCGTCTTTTGGGGTTATGCCGGTGCTCCAGCTGCCCTTGGCGATGGCCTCGATGTCGGAATCGGCGTGGATGACCGTCTTGTACTGTTTGTCGACAAAGGCTCCGCTCGAGTTGTTGCGTGGGTCGTGAGGACTGGGACCATACCGGTCAATTTATTGTCGATTTGAGAATGGAACACAAAAACGTAAACTCACTCGTGTGACTGGCTTCCAAGAACAATAATCCGACCAGCTTCCTTGTCCATACTCTGGAGCAAGAGAAGGACTAGAAGCCAGTGCCCCATGTAGTTTGCCGCAAAGACACCGTCAAGCCCGTCTTCTGTGAATACCTGCTTCCCACAGTCAAGCCATCCGGCGTTCAAGATGAGGGCTCGGATGGGGGGTATCTGCCCCGCGGATACTCCCGCCTGAGGAAATGATATAACGGTTAGTCATGAGTGCCAATTGCCCTCACTTGAGAATAAGTGTTGATTGGCATTGCTCACATTAATGCCCTCCGCCAGTTGTCGTATGTGTTGGAGCCTCGTCAAGTCAAGAGACAGGATATCATATTTGTGTGATCTTGATGCCGCAGGTGCTTGGAGAGCCGCTGTGAGGGCCGGAGCGTTTGCTGCATTCCGAACGGTATACAGGCCGCAATAGGCCGAGAGCTTGGGCGATGAAGCAATCTGCTTCACAACGGCGCTCCCCAGCCCGCCGTTGGCGCCGGTGACGAGGATGGAACCTGCTCTTGAAGCAGACATCGAGACTATAGTACTTGGGCGTGTTTAAAACAGCCTTGAAGGGTAGCAGGACGGTTACAAGCCGACTAACACGGCTATATAAAGTGGAGCTGACGCATGTGATGATAAAATGTCTCCGAGCAATGCGAGCATTGACCAGAAGGATGGCCAATCTCGGAACTGGGCTCCAATCAGCCAACAGCACCTGATGACTGCTCACCTTCCGCGAAGCACAAATGCGGCGTGATAACTGATTTGGCCTTGATGACCCCAAAAATGCACAGCAGCGGCCGGGTAAAGCTACCAACATCTCGTGGGACTTTGTTCTGACCCGTCAACTAAACCGGATGCTTACGTTGGTATGGAGATTTGACCGATTGGTTGCAGCAATACCGAGCAACTGGGACAAAAAGTCAACAGCAAGCGAAATATTGAATGAACATCTATCATCCCTCTGGTATCTTTGTCGCCTAGAAGGAGAAAAGTCAATTACATCCGTTCTCTGCTAGCACAGTAGCCAGTCGTGTAAACAAGTTACCCCTGAACCGTAACGAAGGGCAACAACCCACAAGCCTCCACTTGCCGCCCACACAAAAGCCACTTTCTCCTCCCAGATAACAATCCACAGCAAGTCAGCGGGTTTAGCTCAGTTGGGAGAGCGTCAGACTGAAGTCAAACTTCTTCATCCACCTCGTCAAAGGGTATCTGAAGGTCGTGTGTTCGATCCACACAAACCGCACTGATTCATGGATTCAGGGCCGCAAGGTCCTGATTCTGGTTTTGTTTTTTTCTTTTCATGATTTCATAATAACCGCCAATGGTCGAGTTCAATCCCCAAATTACAGTCACGGTGAGCTGGAAATTCTGGCAATGTCTGTTTTTGCTATCCGTGACCCGTACTGTACCGGTACGTTGTACAATACAACTTCTCGACATACAGTGGGCTGCCCCCAATAAGGTAATTGTGCATGGCCCAATGGCTTGCACAAATCCGGGACAGCGCTTGGGTATAATATGTCACAGCACTGTCCAGTGGCGTGCCACTTGTCCTCACCAGGTCTAGCGCGGCTGCCTGCTTGGCGGATTCCCCGCACAAAGCTCCATGCAGCCGATTTATCCACTACTATCGCCGAGTGAGCTTCCATCAATTGATTGCAACAACAAAGGTGCTTTATCTCTCGCTCCCCCCTTCCCTCGACGACTGAACGTGCTTGCCAAACTTCCAGTCACTTTTCATTTTCACGATTGCGATCAGAGCAACCTACGGCCCGCATCTGTAGTCAATACTGCACAGTACAACTCGAGTCGCATCCACTCGGCGACCTCCCGTCCAGCGACCATCATCACCGCCACGAACAATCTCGAACCTTGCTCGAGCTCGGCTCCGTCAAAGCCCTCCTCCAAATAACTCAAAGCCGATATAAACGATATAAACGAAAATGGTAGGCTGCGGCGGACTAGCTTTCGACGTCCAAAAACCCCAAGACGCGGGTAAACCCAAACCGTTCAACGACCCCGTCGCAAGGTCCAACCCCGTCCATCGCCGACCGACATACCATAACCCGACCTTGCGATCAATCTCATACAAAGCGCAGAACCCGTCGTCCATCACATTTCGCGATGTAGTAATCTTGTTATTCTGCGTATATGCCTTTGGCTGGCAAGGGTATCTCACTGCGCAAAAGATTTACGCGCTGGGGTTCGTCTATCCTGTTGAGCGGGTTTGTTCCAAGCTGAGCGTGGGCGGTTGTCTTTGGGCTTCGACGTGGATGGTGGTGGTGGATATTCTGGGACGAGGGTGGGCGGCGGCTGTTGTTCCTTGGGCGTTTGTTGCTGCGTTGGGGGTCTTTGTTGGCGAGGAGTTGTTGGGGTGGACTGGCTCGAGGGCGTGAGGCAGACATGAGCTGGGAAGAGGGGCATTGTATAGATACGGATACTGGATGACCGTCGTCTCTGTGGTTGGGTTATGATACGGCTACGGCATGGCCAGTCGCGGATGCGATGATGGGCAGATGCGCACTTCAAGATGGCCTTTTGGCAGTTGCGGGCAATGGTGGACGAGTTCTGACTTTTTATGGGGCGTTAATGGATATGGGCTGTCATTTTGAGCCAGTCACATATGGAACGGCATTCTATTCTCGCCTTGCACTCTCGTGTCTTCATCCTGGTCAGCCATGAGCCGAGTGACCCTTCCCGATTCCGCCTGGCGGGTGCTATGTACGTGTTGGTCGCATGTGCCCCATGGATCGTGATGTCACGGAAAAGATAGACACCACCGTCACATTGGAGCAGGCATTTGTTTGCACCGAGAGGGGCTCAACAGGCGGCATATATACAGTGGTCAGTATGAGCTCCATGCTACTTGATGTCTTGGCTGACTATGTAAGGACAAACTACAGGTACGGCAAGCAACAATGGACTCCAACGGCTATGAACATGAAGCAAAGTATCAACAACCAACATCTCCAACATCCTCGTCGCCCCCTTCCTCACTCTTTCACCACCCACCAACTCTCAGTCGGCCACTATTTAGTTGCCGTTCCAGACCTTGGGACCGGGCATCTGGTACGGCGCCGGGTTGCCAGTCCACTTGTTGTACCGAATACCGGGATCAGTCTGTTTATAGATGCCAGGGATCTTGACCAGCGGGCTGGGGTTACCGCCGCCGTTGCCCTTGATGCGCAGCTGCAGGCACTGCATATAAAACTGGGCGCGCTGGACATGTCCCTCGTGCAGACCGATATGCTCGAAGCGAACGAGGTACTCGCCGGGGGGTGTCTTGGGGGGGATGGTGAACTCCATGCGGTCCTTGTTGTAGGTGCACCAGTTGCCGTCCTGGGCCGCATTGCCGCGGCAGAGACCTGACTCCCAGACCTTGAACCAGTCGCCCGAGCCGTCGTAGGTGCTGACGCTGTCGGGGGCCTTGGACATGTAGACGAATCCCGGGCCGGGGTGCTCGATGAATTCGTTGTTGAAGAGCTTGAGGGCGATGCGGTCGCCGGCGTTGACCTCGAAGGTGCCTACGTTGCCGCCGGGCTTGGCGCCGACGTTGCAGCGGAGGTCGTTCTTGTCGACGATGTCGGGGAAGGCCGGGTTGTACGAGTTGGTGTTGCGGCGGACGTAGGTGTACTCGCCACCTTGTCTGACGCCGTTGACGAACAGGATGTTGAAGATGTAGTGGGCGTCCACCGCGGTGGCCGCGGCGGTCAGAGCCGCAAGGATGGAGAGCTTCATGGTGGCAAGGGGCTAGAAAGAGTTGTAAGGGGGATGATGGATGTGGTGCTGTTTCCTGGTTACTCGAACTGGCCTGGCTGTCCAAGTTTATATACCCATCTCGTGCCTCATGGTCCCTTTGCCTCGACCTCTGGAGCCGACTTTTTCATCCGTCATTTCCAGTCCTGCTTGGCGACGAGTATCGTGACTTGTTTCCGGCCCAACAGTTAATAAGCCCGTCAACCAAGTTGTTGGCCAGTGTATATTGCGGCGTTATTACCCCGGATCTCGTTTATCTGGCGCCAAGATCGTCACGGGAGTGGCTCTCGTTACTACCGGTGCCTGAGCATGGGCCATGGACGTGAAAATCTGGGGTCAAGCAAGTGAGAGGATGGCAGTCCAAGTGACAGAGGCGAGATGGAGAATATGTTTTGGGAACCGAACAGTCCTTCCCCAGATTTCTCTAAAGTTGCCAAGAGGAAACCAAACGGTTAAATAGGCGACGATTTCTTGGCTCCGTCGAAGAGGCTGAGACTTTCGGCATATTAGACCTTGATAATTGCCCAATTCGGCGCGGCTGTCGCATTCCATTGTATTTGTGAATATGTTGGGCCCTGCACTAACTGCCGTTGTCGCACCTGTCATCGACGGCGGTTGGTACGCTTGTTGCAGCAATGGGACCGGAAACTTGGCTCAGGGGCTTTTTTTCAGATTGGTTGGTTCATAAATATTCTACTTCGGGAAGAGCATTTATCCACCAATCGTCGACAAAGAAGCTTGACCTGACCAAGGGGCAGTGGATCATGGTTCAGAGAGAACAAGCAATGGGCCCTGACATGTCTTGTCAATCACGACTGAGAATACACTGTCCACTCCTAAGACAAGAAGGGAGCTCGTGGCCTCGAGAGCTGGACAGTCTTTGTTGACAGTCAGCGGAAGGCTGGTCTGTGGAACGCAGTTCCCCGGATAGATTTGTACCAGGAGGACCAGAGGATAAAAAGTCATGGTAATATAATAAGAGAAGTACACCAAGCCGCAGTAATTGGTCACCAACCAGATGACCTCCTGATTCATAGCTTTAACAAGTGGCATTGAGGCGCTAACATGGAGGCAAGCCCTTGGCACTTTCAGGGCGGCTTCTCCGTCCGGTGCAGATTATGGACCAAGAACTTTCCGGGGAAGCGGGCAACAACAGGGGAACTGGTATGAAGAATATGTAAGTGGGCGAGGTGTAAATAACGTACCTCGCGGCTGGTTGTTATGATGAGTGGCCATTTATCTGATCGGTTAGGCATACCTGGTTGAAGTGATCGGGGATGAAGTCTGCATTTTATGAGGAAAGAAAATGTCTCTCGCGCCTGGTGGTGAGCGATTCTCTGACATGAGGTAGCGCGAGGAACCTTTTCCCTTAGCTTGAACACAAGACAGAAGGAGCGTAAGGTTAAGGTTCGGGTGGCGGAAAGCGTTGGGTGGACCAAAGGCTGCAGATGGAGATCATGTTGACCTTTGGAGAGGAAGGTCCAATGATGAACCAAGCTAGGTCCTTCCCATTCATGGACAGGCAACGGCAACGAGACAATTATCGAAATACCCCCACTGAAAAGGAATCTTCGACGACTCAGCGGAGCTCACGTCTTCATTGAGGCACACGCCAGTCAGTTCATGGCCTTCCACGATGAATCCGCACCCCGACATCTTTCCTACCCAGTTTATCGCCATTGGGGCATTTCCTCACTCTAAAAGTCAATTAGTCCGAACAGGTCTTGCTGGTATCACAATAAAATGACATCCTCCACGCCTGCTCCGTGAGCTCCAAGATTCTGCCAGCCTGCAACCATGGCCACGATGTAGATCACAGTACCCAGCAATACATTCATTTTCATGGACAATGCGTCTCCCATTGCTGCTCTGGGACATCGTCAGATTAGGTGAACAGTCTCCAGGTCGTTCGACTTTGTCGGAGTTCACGGTCACGTGCTCTCACCTTGACCACACCATGTCAAGTATCGTCGGGATTCGCTAACCAATCAACATCTCTAATCTCTGTGGCTGAAATTGCGGGGATATCTGACCATATTTCTGCCTGTTCCGAGACCGGGGAAATCCCTCAACAACCATCAAGGTCTCATCTTTTCATACATTCACATCGAATTCCATCTATTGAAGCACTCATTCATCTAGACGGACCCATGCGCCTCATCAGAACCGATAATCTCACTCTTGAAGAGTTCCCTGGTGACTATTCAGGACCGTATGCCATCCTCTCGCACACTTGGGAAGATGGCGAGATATCATATCACGAGATGCAGGCGGCCTCTCCAGCTTCTCGTTGGCAAGGGGCAGCCATCAAGAAGAAACCAGGATACCAAAAGATCTGTAATTTCGCCAGGGTTGCTGCTGCGGATGGCTTCGAGTACATGTGGGTAGACACATGCTGCATCGACAAGAGCAGCAGCGCCGAACTTTCCGAGTCTATCAATTCCATGTTTCGATGGTACTCCAAGGCCACGCGATGCTACGTGTATC